CTCTGGGAAGCCCAAAGCACAAGCCAGCGGTCTCCCTTGGCGCAACTGTGTTTACTTAAAAAGAACACGCTGGTTCCTTTTGCCTTGAACGCAGCAGGGACACACACGGCCAGGAACATTGCTTACTCATGAGTTCCCAGCCTACCTTTCCAGGCAGAGCCACGGCTCCAGGAGATTTCTGTCCCTGCTGGCTCAGCAGGACCACCCACCAAAGCCTTGCCCCTTTGCCACACACAGGGTGCGGGGGGCTCGCTGCCCGGGGCCAAGCACGCTGCGGGCAGGGGAGAGGGCTTCACCGCCCACCAGGCAAGGACGTCACGCGTGGCAGCTGAATGCACAGGAGTATTATTTTTAGTTCATAAGTAAATATTTAACTTAAGAAGCTGTCCATGTGCTCCGGAAAATTATTTTATCGTGAGACAGTTTGTAATTGCACAGGTGCAGGTCCTGCCAGGCATGTCCAAAAATACTCTGCCATGAAGCGTGGAGAAGGGGGAGACATGTAAGTGCTGCAAGGCAGCAACCGCTGCCCACGGGAGCGCGCTGGCTGGGGGCCACACACGCTCCTGCCTTGTGCAGGGTCACTCACGTGTCTGTCCGTCACCCATCTGTCCATCCACCATTTCGCCAAATCCTGCTTTTTCCTCTGGCACCGCTGAGTGCTGGCTCCCTGGTGAAGCCCTTGCCCAGCTGTGCCCTGCGGGTCATAGAGCACCCGTGGGTGGGCTTGGCCCGCTGCACAGCTGGAGTTTCACAGGGGCTGAGATGCCACTGTGCCGGAGCGAGCCCAGGGTCCCTCCTCCTCCTCCGAATCCCCTCGGGGCTGTGGATTGCAAGTCAGCGTTGGAGCTGTCAGAAACCGATGGAGTGGGGTGAGGGACTCGTGCTGTTCCTTCCCTGTCAGCTGTGCCCCCTTTGCAAGCAGGTGGTTTTTGTGGCCGCTCACCCCATAGAATCATCTGGACTCAATGCACGAGCTGTTCCTTCTCCTCTGTGCACCACCCACAGCGCTACGGGCCCTGCATGCTGAATCAGCCTCTCACCGACAGCTGGGCAGCTGCCCTGGCTCCAGCCCCTGGCACACATGTGGGCAGGGACACAACCCGGCGCTTCCTTCCAGCTCCAGTCCTCCTGTGGGTCTGGAGACCCTGGCAGGGATGGCACTTCCACCGGGAGCGAGGGATGCTAAAGGTGGGCACGGGGCAGGGGAACCTCGTTTCCTCCCTACTGAGAAGGTGTGTGCCCCGGGAAGCAGGTGAGCCCCTGGGAAGCCTAAACTGTGATCTCACCCCCTCCGGAGCGCTCGCAGCTGCCGTGGGTGAGCAGCAAACCTTCCCGGTGCAGTCTCGGAATGGAGCAGTGCTAACTGGACAGAACTGCAAAGATCAGCACGACAATCACCGCAGTGGCTGCGATGTGCCCGAAGCATTGAGTTTTGTGCTGAAAAATACAGCAATTGCCCTGAGTGACTGAGGCAGCTCAAGGCTGCGGGAAGACGACGTGTGCGTACCCCTAAGGGAGGATTTTCTGTGTACCTCGTGGTGCGATCGGGTGCACTCTAAAAGGAAAAAGAGTCTCCAGATTCTTATTCTTCAGGAGTGCTGTGGAGCATCAGTAATAAGTCATCTTTGGCAGGCATATGTCAACAGCACCCAGGGAGGGGAGAACTTCATCAGAGCAGAGAAATCATTCCAGCCTGACTTTGGTATGACTCCAGCAAGTCTAAAATATCCATGAGGGCCCTGCTCCCATCCCTCCTCAGATCCATCCTGGCCCTGCCTCGGGTCAGATAGCCAATTTACCCGTTTCTGTACCCCTGCGTCATAATGCTTATTTGCTTTCATACAGGGTTTTGCAATTTTAAGGGTTAGGACGTGTGTTTGCCCAGCAAAAGGCCACCTCAGGTACAGCCATTACCTTCCCCACCCCCTTAGCAGAACGGGACCTCGTTACTGCCCGGGCGCTGTGCGGCAGGTGGGTGTTTGTCACCGGGGCTGCGCCTTCGAACGGATGGCAAACGTGCTTTGAGTCTCGTCCGTTTATTTTTAGTGCTTATTCACTGGCTAAACGGCAGGGAAGGAAACCGCCACGCGCGAAGGGTAAAGGCAGCTGGATGGAGGGGGCCTTGCGAATCCCTTCGAAAGAAGCCCCAGCTGTCCTTAAGTGCCAGTCTGAAGGTGGAGGGACCTCGAGGCAGTGGGAGGGGAGGGGAGCAGGAGCAGGAGCGGGGCGGTGAGCCCAGCAGCCCCATCGCCTGGCCTCGCATGCCACCTCGCAGCCTGGCACGCAGCTGATCTGCCGGCCACGGCCGAGCGCCCAGCTGGTGTCAGAGCTTTGTGCTGACTTTGGGCTAACTCTGCACAGCCGGTTGCCCTGTGTCGTGAGCCTGGCACTCAGCCCAGGACCCCGGAGATGCAGGCACGGCAGCGATCAGGTGAAGGCAGGATGGCAGGGGACCAGCTATTGAGCCAGGGGCAGGGGGAGGCATCTGCCATCTGCTCTGCTGGGGGAGGCAACCCCAGCCACTTGGCTGTCCCTGTCCCTGGCTGGGCAGAGGGGTGGTGGGACTGGGGTCCTGGGTGCAGGAGTCCACCACCAGCCCAGCCCCCCACCCCAGATCTGAACAGTTCAGTCTGCAAAGTCCACGGCCAGCCAGGCCCTGACACGTTCATGCGGCTCCAATTACAAAAGTTCGCAAAGCTAAAAAAAAAATAAAAAAAAAAACAACTT